CATCTCCCCCGTTTTGAAAGGAAGACAATCTTTCTGGAAGTATTCCCAACTAATCTCCGATTTTCCCGCTGACTGCCTACCGGCACCAGTATCCGTTCCTAGCGGCCAATAGCTTGTAGCCCATGTATTTCTCACGAGGCGGACAGTACTTCCATAGTTCATGTAGACCAGCGCTGGTGTCGCAGGACTCTTTTGGATGATCATGGTTCATCAACTCTATGTTTAGCCGTGCTCGCACTGCTGCCGAGGCCACATTACGGCCCCGTTCGAGTCTCCCCGGGACCTCTCGTCAGCCTGACCACATCATGCCTCCAAGCATGTCTCTCCCAAAATTCCATGTGCCAGCCCAGGAGAGCCCGGCACCGGAGAAGGGGCCCTACCACAGTAGAGCCTCGCAACGGCTGTCACATAGTTTCACCGTCTCATCCGAGGCTTCGCCATATCTGGGCTCCATCTTCATTCATCGTTGCCAACAGGCAACAGCATACGCTGATTTCGGATTGCGAGATATACCATCGCGAACGCAAAGTTTGTATGGTCCGATGAAACTCGTATCCCATATTGAGGGATGCATTCCTGACGAGGACTACTCCAAATTTCCGCCATCCTCGTCGTCGTCCTCATACTCGTTGTCGCTTGCCTCGTCGTCATCTTTCGGGCCCGAACGTTTCTCCGCTCTCCCGCCCTGTCCATCTAGGTTCGCCCATGTCGTCGGCGTTGGCGTGGACAACGCTGCCCCATCCCGCGAGGTCGCCGCAGCCTCTGCAACGCTGCTGCCTTGTCGCTCATTTCGATCAGAACCACCCGTTCCCAATGCGGAAGAGCCACCTCTCCCGCGGACACCGCCGCCGCCCCGGCTTGCACGTTTCTTTGGTCCATCCGGCAACGGCTTCCGTCTTTTCCTTCGGCTGTTCGAACCTATGTCCGTCGGCTTCGGCGCGGCGTGGGCGTACACCGTGACCTCGTCCTTTTCGCCTCTCTTGACCTTTAAAGCCATTAAATTCTCCAGAAACCTCGTTTGACGCTTGCGCTCGCCCGTCTTGTCTGCCGTGATCGGGATATGGATTCCGTGTTGCCTTCTGATGTCCTTGAGGGGGTCGTCTTTCGCCGCCGCCTCGTGCTTTGGCTCGAGGCGCTTCTCCGTTGTGTTGATCCTCGACCAGCTGGCCGCCAGCATGTCGACACCGCCGGGAAGATGTCGCAGAGCCGGAATCGGATCCTCGTGCTCGTGTTCGGCGAATATTACTTCTGTACCCAAATTTCGCGTCCACTGTCCCTCAAAGATCTTGCCCTTGTACGCGAACATGGGCTTGTCGGAGTGCAGGTCTAAGATCTGGATCTCGGCAGCTTGTTCAGATTCAAAGTCTGCGTCGTAGCTGTCTGCAATCCGGTCCGCCTGTCCCTGATCGATCTCTTCATCGTCCTCGGGCTCGTCTGCCGGCTCGTCATCATTCTGGTCGTCCTCTGACATGATGCGGTGGTGTTTCGGTTCGTCGGGTTTCCTGGTGGTAGGGCCTGCCCAGTGTTTGTAGTGATATCCGCCTCGTCCTGACACTGGCATGTTCCGTTTGCGCCGCAGAAGCTGTGGGATAGAGAGATCGACAGTAAGGTAGTATGTCTGAGATGGTCAGCAATTGCATCTTCCTGCTCGCTCCAATGCGACAGCTGACCTCGGTCTCTGTGGTCGAGTACTCGTACTCCCAATCTGAGTCGTCGCCGCCATCAATTTTGTTGGATGCATCTTTCGGTGGCTCATCAGCGGGCGCGGTCGCCGCAATCACCGGCGCGACTGAGGAGGTTGGCTCGTTGGTCGCCATGTTCTAGCGACGATTCCTTGTTGCGGCGCTCCAATTGACTGATGGGATTCGTGCATTGGGACCCAGGATTCGTGTGGTTGTGTAGTGTTGTCGCCAGCTGCGAGCTTCGAATTGTGTCAGGGAATGCGAAGATCGAGTTGTGAGCACATCGCGGAAAGAATGTGCGACGTCGAAAAATTGCTGAAGCTTCGATGTTGAAGATAATTGCAGAATTCCCATTCCAAGGGAAAGAAGCTTACCCGCCCGCCCCCAGTCAATTCTACGGCAGATTGGCAGAGGCCAGAGGTCAATTGAACAGGGGCCGCTGCTCGCTGGTGCGGGGCAACTGCTGGACTTTCCATGCTCACAGTCACAACCCCTCTGCCCCGCTATCGCAAGTAAATTTCCCAGAGACGACGCCCTACGACTCACAATCGGACTTCGCTCTGTTGACTCACAACTTGACATCCCTCGTCGATTGACGATACTTTATAACGTCGCATTCCATTCGTTCTCAATCTTTGATCTACTTTCTGTTCCATAGACTTGCAATATACCCAACCCTTCAACACACGCTTTATCCTCCAGTTTGCCTACCATGCCAAAGGTCCACCTCTTGGACTACGTCGCGGGCAATGTTCGCAGCTTAGTGAACGCCATCGAGAAGGTCGGCTACGAAGTCGAGTGGATTAGAAGGCCGGAAGATGTTCCCTCAGCAGAAGTAAGCAATTGGTCTCGATATACCCGTTGAGAAAGTCTTCAGCGAACTAACCTTCTCCTCCCCTTCCAGAAACTGATCCTCCCCGGTGTCGGCCACTTCGGCCACTGCCTCTCCCAACTCTCCCAAGCCGGCTTCCTCCCCGCCATCTCCGCCCACATCGCCTCAGGCAAGCCCTTCATGGGCATCTGCGTCGGCATCCAGGCCCTCTTCGAAGGCTCCCTCGAGGACCCCGACGTCCCCGGCCTCGGCGTTGTAAAGGGCCGCCTCGACCGCTTCGACGCCTCCACCAAGTCCGTCCCCCAGATCGGCTGGAACAGCGCAAACACGGCCGGCGCGAGCCTCTACGACCTGAGACCGGACTCGAAATACTACTACGTCCACACCTACAAGTACCCCTACGTCCACGGCGAGCTCGAGGCCCAAGGGTGGACCGTCGCGACGGGAACTTACGGCAACGAGACGTTCGTCGGCGCCCTCGCCAGGGGTAATATCTTTGCGACGCAGTTCCACCCCGAAAAGTCCGGCGCTGCAGGTCTGCGCTGCCTCCGCGCCTTCCTCGACGGCTCCGGCGCCGCGAATCTGGCTGCCGCCGCGGTTGCTACACCATCCGCCGCCGCCGCCGCCGAGACCACCACTTACCAAGACGGCCTCACCCGCCGCGTAATCGCCTGCCTCGACGTCCGCACAAACGACCAAGGCGACCTCGTCGTAACAAAGGGCGACCAATACGACGTCCGCGAAAAGTCCGACGGCGGCGCCGTCCGCAACCTCGGCAAGCCCGTCGAGATGGCCCGCCGCTACTACGAGCAGGGCGCAGACGAAGTCACCTTCCTCAACATCACCAGCTTCCGCGACTGCCCCTTAGCCGACGTGCCCATGCTCGAAATCCTCCGCCGCACCTCGGAAACCGTCTTCGTCCCGCTCACCATTGGCGGCGGCATCCGCGACACGGTCGACACGGATGGCACAAAAGTCTCGGCCCTCGAGATCGCGACAATGTACTTCAAATCCGGCGCCGACAAAGTCTCCATCGGCTCCGACGCCGTCCTCGCGGCCGAAGAATACTACGGCGCGGGACGCAAGCTCTTCGGCAACACGGCCATTGAGCAAATCTCAAAAGCCTACGGCAACCAAGCCGTCGTCGTCTCCGTCGACCCCAAGCGCGTCTACGTCCCCAACACGGACGCCACGCGCCACAACATCCTCAAGACGTCCACGCCGGGCCCCAAGGGCGAGGAGTACTGCTGGTACGCCTGCACCATCAAGGGTGGCCGCGAGACGCGCGACATGGACGTCGTGGAGCTCGCCCAGGCCGTCGAGGCCATGGGCACCGGCGAGATTCTGCTCAACTGCATCGACAAGGACGGCACCAACAGCGGCTTCGATCTCGAGCTCATCTCTCAAGTGAAAGCCGCCGTCAAGATCCCGGTCATCGCGTCCAGCGGCGCGGGCGAGCCGGCGCACTTTGAAGAGGTGTTTGCCAAGACGACGACGGATGCCGCGCTGGGTGCGGGTATGTTCCACCGCGGGGAGTATACCGTCAAGCAGGTCAAGGATTTCTTGGCCGACAAGGGGCTTAAGGTGAGGCAGTTTGAGGAGACCATTTGAAGCGTCATGCTGTCTTGAGCTTTGGGTACCGTAGTTGGAATGGAGGGAGGAAAGGGGGGGGGGACGTCAAGCGTTGCTTGTCCCTCTTGTGCGTTTTGGGCCCAAAGAGGGGGAGGATGACGATCAGCCGTTTGTGAGAAAAGAGACAAAAGAGCACTTTAGAAGATTCGGAAACCTTTTTGATAGTGATGGTTATTTTACGGAAAAGCCTGGAGTTGAATTTGTGGTGATGCCAATCACTCGCCCGAATGCTAGACATACAAAGAAAGAAACTTCCTCACATGGTGGTTTCATACTGATTCCGTGGTTATGTTTTTTGTGTGCTATTCCTGCCAAACATGAAGTAGCCCCTGCGATTCAAACACCAGAGAAGAGAGAAAAGAACATATCCCCAATTCGATAAAGTAATTGCTTCAAGTCCCAAATGTATACCCTTTGACTAGTTATGATGGACAACACTAGCCTAAAGAATAAGTGAAAAGAAACAGCCCTACAAATTTGAGCGTGCAGATACAGATGCGAGGAGAAAGATGCCCAAAACACACGAGACTCGAATCTCCTTGCGTTCAATGCTTTTGCGGTTCCTTCCTTTTCCCAACACGAATCCCGTATCTTGCTGTTTTGTTCCAAGCTCAAGCCGTTTGTGTAACGAAGAAGAAAAGACCCAAGTGCGTACCCCAAGCAAGAAAGCATTTGCTCCAAGCAAAGAAAATAGCCCGCGATGCCGTGCGAACATTGGAAAAGACGAGAGACGAAGACGCCAGAAAAAGCAAAAACTCCCCAACTGCCAAGCTCAAAGAACTGATGAGTGAGGAAGGGGAAACCCCCTTCCAAACAGAACGCGGACGATGAAAGGCTGTCCGGGGTAAGTAATGCTAAATCTCCATGCTCATAAACAGCCATTGGTTGCTCGTCACGTCCACGTCTCTCGCCCACTGATCCAGCGTAGTCAGCTCGAAGCCGATCCACTGCAGGCTCTTCATCAGCGACTTTGCATCCTCCTCCTCGATAGCCCGGTCGATGCAGACGACCAGGTGTTGGCAGTTGAGCGGTCCGTCGACCAGCTCCATCAGCGCCATAAGTCTAGAAGGAATGTTAGTCAGGAATTCTTCGTGTGACGAGGTCTAAGACAGATGGGGGTGTGTGTGACATACGCAGGCTTCAGGTCACGTCCAATGACATTCCTGTCAAATAAAGCGAACAGGGACTTTTCAGCCCCATCGTCCGCCACAAAGGCCCTGAAACTCGCGCCGCCGGCAAAGTCCCAAACCTCCAACCACGCGGTGGCCGGGGCCGGTGCGGCAGGGGCCGTGAAGCCCTCCGCACCGTCCCCGCCGCGTCCCCCGAACGGGACATGTGGTTGAACGGCCAAGTCCTCGTCTGGCGGCGGAGTGGGCAGCATATTGTTGGCGTTACTGCTGCCGTTGTTGTAGTAATAAGCACCTTGATGCAGGCCGGAGCCACGCGAGCCAGTGTCCGTCTCACCGCGGAACACAGCCCTCATGGACTCACAAAAGAACCTTTCACATTCTTCCCTGATCGAAAGTGCTGCCCCCCCTCTACGGCTGATCCTCTTGCCGGGCACGGTATCGCGCCTCTTGGAGCTGCTGCTGCTGGCCTTGGGAAGCAGAGCGAGCTCGTTGGATGCCGTTATGGCCGCGAGGGGGGGACTTGAAGGAGGGGATGGTAGTCCTGAGGAGGGGACCTCAGGAATACCACTCGGCCCCTGTTGATTCCAAGATATGTCAGTCCATGATCCATGTAGTTTACCGAGTTTCCGGAGACGGGTGATGCAAGTGTGCGGGGATTATAGGGGATGAGAAGTTTACAAGAGACAAGAACCCTGAGTGATCGGCGGCGTATCTACGAGTTTGAGGCTGAAGATGGGCATACGTGGGGGAAGCAGGAAGGAAGGAGAGAAACATGTGCTTGTGCTGCTGTGGAATGGGAGAATGCGACATACCTGCGGCGCCGGTAGTGCAGTAGTGGAGACCGCGAAGAGTCGCGGCGGAATCGACGATGTAGCAGCTGGCGAGGACATTGGCCTGACGGACAATGGCCTCACCATAATTACTACTACTGTAATTGTTGACCTGATTCATGGGCGCCATTGCGATTGATTTTCGGGGGTTTGGTAGCTAAAGATCTGGTGTTGAGGTTGGATTGGGTTGGGAGGTCGGTTCTCGGGAAATCGGAACCGGTTCGTCGATGAGTTTGGTGATTGGTGGTTGAAAAGTGAGGCGAGAGTCAAGTAGCGACGATGGTAGTCTTCTTTTCGAAAAGGTGGTGTGGGTTTTCTTGATTTAGCTGATGAGGCTGTCGATATGTGTAGGTTGGTTGATGTAGTAGCGCGGGGGCGAGGATTTGCGTTGATGTTTTGTCCTTGTTTATTCGAACGGCGGTTGTTGCGGGTGAGGCGAACAGGATATCGGCGGTGAAGCGTTGCGATGGGGAAGATAGGAAGAGGGGAATTTGGAAGAGACGGCGGGCGGAGTGGTGAATAAAAACCCAGCGGAAAGGCCATATCTCTCTCCTACAGAAAAAAAAAATAAAGGGTGGAAACGTCTAGCGTGGCGGAGAAAGCAGCCCAGCCAAGGGGACCACCACTTGGGCTGTCCACTATGCAGCACGCAGCAACCACCACCCAGCCGTGCCGTGCCACTTTCCAATGGGCCACAACGGCAGTCTCAAGGGGTGGCAGCCACCAAAAAAAGCGGCCAAGCCCACCGGTCCAGTGGGAAAACCTACACAGTACTGGGTTGCGTACGGATACAAGGGAAGGAACAGTCATAATCAGCCATGGCATCTCCACCCTTCCCCCTTCTTTCCTCGGATTCCATCACCCATCATCCATGTCTCCTCCTCACCATCCAATGCAGTCAATGCCATTGATCCCGTCCACGTCAATTCAGGCTTTCAATTGCTTGGATCTTACTCAATCGCAATCCTCAGGGTCCCTTTCCTTTCGTCACTTCACATCGGTACTCCATGATCTGTTTGCTTGCTCGCCACGATCACCATCGGCATCAGCTGTCTCTGTCCACAGGTTCCAGAGGGTTCCAGTTTGTCCATTGTCCTCGCTGGTAAGGGGGCGTCCATGGTCCACGGTCCATTGGGGGGCCACTGGTCTAGGCTTACGAAACCGGCTGGAGCCCTTTGCAATGCGCCAGCCGTCAATGTTGCACTGTACTACGTATGAGGCGGTATGGGAAGCAAAGCACGTTGTTTCTTGGGCTGCATTGCATTGGCTGTTGTTTCTCGGCCAGTTGTGGTTCACGATCTACCTTGCCTACTCATTGGGTACTGATTCATTGACTGACTTCAAGCAGTTGCATGCTTCTGTCTCCAGACTTCAACAATTATACGCATCTAAGCCTATCTGCATCTATCCGTACAGACCAGTCAGAGATGCCCCAATTCTACTGTCACTAGTAGTCTCCCGCCAGCAATCAACCGACTCGGGTGGACGCTCCCAATCCGGGCCCGGCACGGCGCTTGGCACTTTGACTGCTTCTCCTGCGGCCTCTGCCAATCGAACGAGGCCGTGGGCTGCATTTCACATGCACGTGGTCAATCCCCCCAAACCGAGCCCATGCTGCCCAGCCACCCTAGCCCGACCCAGAACTTGGGGTTATCGTCTCTTGGACGGGAACGGTCAGACAGATGAGTTCCTTTTCCTGGCGCTCACAGTATCACAGTGCTTTATCCGTACTCTCTGATGGGCTTCCACAAGGATGAAAAAACGGTGGTCCGATAGCTGGTCCTCTTTTTGAATCATGAACTTACGAAAGTGAGGTAATATTACGCAAGCAGTTCAAGCACACGGCCGTCGATCGTCGCATATACAAGTGACACATAACCGCAGAGAGATGTCGGGGTCCTCCATCATCAGGATAATTAGGGTTTGCGAGAGGCCAGCCTACCATCCCCAAGCTCGAAACTCTGGCTGAGCTCACTACGTACACAGTGCTGTATTCCAGACGTCCGCCGTGGATAGCCCAAACATTTCATATGACGATGGCGTAAGATGCCGCAAGTTTGCAACCAGCCTGCACGGATTGCTCCCCTTTCAGCCGGAGCCCCGGCATGGTCGGAGGCCGCGTTTTCTCGGCCATCGCAATCGTGACGGGCGAGCAGGCCACCGGAGCACAAGGTGTTACGGTGGTTGGTCTATATTCACACTTTGCCATGGGCAATATTGCAGGATGCCTTGTCAATGCCAGCCAAAAATGCCATGCAGCGCCGCAACTAGCTTGCTTGGGCTCACTGGGGCCCGTGTTTCCGTTCGGGTCACTTGACCGTTTTATCCCCCACATCCATGATTTGCGAGTCATCCACCGCAGCATCCTCTTTCTCGAAAGGAAAGTGTGCACTATGAATACCTTGACGAACATGAATTTCTTTTGGTGTCTTGGGTCATTGAGTCAAAGTTGATCTACTAATTTCGTAACAATAGCAATTAAGCGTCTACTTGTCATCGAAGCTGCAACTGTCTATCTTGATGCTGGGTGCAGTCAAAGGGCTAGGTAGAGACGTCGCATCTGAATCGGCGCCGGTCTCTGGTAGTCAGCAGCTAACTGCCCGACGGACCATCTGACGCTCCCCACTACGTCCTCACCGAAAACGAGCGAAAGCTGCGAGGCGATTTAGTCCACAGATAACGATTGCAAAGAGTCTATGAGCTGGGTGCTGCTGCAAGAAACTTGTGACGGCCTCGATCCCCGCAAACCTCAAAGCTACCGAACAATAACCTCTGGAACTCGAAACATCCATATCTGGGATTTCCCGTTTTCTAGAAGCCTCTCCATCCGTATCCGTACCGGTGCTCACTGAGTCTCCAACGACATGAAGAAAGGTGGGGACCCCTTCTCTCCCGTCTTGCGCACAACCGTTGGAGGAAGAGGGGTCACATCTGATGGAGGTCGAATGAGGTGATCATCCACACCCACCCAGCGGTGGAGTCTGAAGTCCAGTGACAGTGACACACACACACTGCCGGCGCCAAATGGAAATCTCACCACTTGGGAAGACTCCACCTGGCCGTCGTCTCTTGGTCTTATCGGCTCACGCTTGCAGTTGCTCATCTTATCGATAGCGTTGGGCTGTGATAACCTTGGTATGACCAGGTGGGGAAGCTCGAACCTCTGTCGACCGAATGACTTGATCGTACACCACATCCGAGTGATCTCCCATGTATTGAATACCTGGTACTGTACCCAAGGCAGGTACTGAATAAAGACCAACGCCCGCTGCTCCGATACTGGCCGCGCGCCGAGCAGATGCTCCCGGAGAGGCGGGTTAGTAAGTAGCATATTTGCAATGTCTTACTTTACGATATCAAAGTGTTCAATGGCGAAACATCCATCCGACAGCTCCTCTTCAGCCTTCATGTCTATCTGAATCAGGTGTCAGCAAGCCCTCTTCTTCCATCCCAAGTCCGGGCGGAAATCAAAGCTCCAACCACGTAAAGATACCTGCCTATCAACAAGTACGGTAAGGTAGGTACACCACTATGTCCGAAGTTCCGCCCAGACCCTTTTGATATCTCACAATCGTCCACTCACCGCAAAACAAGCGGGGTCCCGCCAGAGACTGTGACAGTGACATGCTGCTTGCTTGCTTGCTTGCCGTAACGGTGCTTTACCTTACCTTCCCTTCCCTCGCGTTACCTTACCCTCCAATAACCCGAATCATTCACTCGCTCGCAAAACTGCACGTTACACACCATTTGGACGGAGGCCAGGCCAAAAGGAAAAAAGTCCAGCCCAAAATCCTTTACCCCTCCATCTCACTGTCTCGTGCCATAAGTCAGTCACTCACCTTTCCCCTCCTCCCTGTCGACCTTGCGCCCCGACGTGCCGGGCTCTGATCTACCTACCTTACCTACCCCAAATCGCCTCCGACCCTTCATTCCTGCTTGCCCGCCTTGCCTTATACATGATTCCATGACCTCCCGAGGACCCTTTCCAGTCGCAAAGGATTTAGATCGTGTGAACAAGCCAGCAGAGGCAGTAGAAACTCCTAAAATCTCTTGCTATCGTCGCCGTCGTCGTACCAAAAGACAAAGCCATGCTCTCCTCACCCTAAACATCAAAAGAAGGCCATCCACCCTTCCACCGGAGCTCTCGCCGGAATACCATGGTAGAACCCTCCACCACCGGCGCCGCCCTCATCTACAACTCCAACAAGCCGTAGTCCACACACACACAAGCGAAACAAAGAAACTCCAAGAGGACTACATCGCCGCCACCCCTTCTTCGGGGCCAAGGCTTCCGGAAGCGCGGTGCATATTTCTTGTTCCGTTCTAACGCAAACTCACCCCTCGCGATGGCGCCCAATATCGTCGTCTCCCGTCCCACATTCCCAACCTACCTCCTCCCAAGCTTCAACATCATCCCCTTCCGCCGCCGCCGCGCCCCGCGCCGGACCTCGTCCGCGTCAGAAGCAGCAGCAGAAATAGAAACAGCTTCAACGTCCCCGGACTCAACCCCGGACGCAAGCCAAGTCCCCTCCTTAAGCTCCTCGCCGACTTCCTCAACGACAGACGAGACCGCGACCCCGCCAAACAGCCCGCCGCCGCCGACATACCAAGATGCCACCATCACCACCACCACAGCAACAGCTAGCATACCAGATATCCTCCCCAAGTCCAAGTCCAAATCCATAAGTGCCACCACCAACAAGAACAACAGAAACAACAAAGCAACCTCCTTGGCGCGCACCCAACCAGACACCCTCCGCTGCTCAACCTGCTCCTGCGACATCGCCTTCGCCTCCCAAATCGTAAGCAAAGGCTTCACGGGCCGCTACGGCCGCGCCTACCTCATCGCGCCGACCGTCACCACAAATAACCCTTCTTCCGCCAATACTACATCCTCCGCCCACGGCACAGGCGCAAACGCAAAAGGCAAGGGCAGCCTCGCCAACGTCCGCATAGGAAAATGCGAAAACCGCCAGCTCGTCACGGGCTGGCACGTCGTCGCGGATATCACCTGCGTCCTCTGCAGCGCGAAGCTCGGGTGGAAATACGTCGACGCCAAAGAGCTCAGCCAAAAGTACAAGGTCGGCAAGTTCATCCTCGAGGTCGAGCGCGTGGTGCCGTTTCGCAGCTGGGAGGACGTCGATGTCCGGGATGATGGATATTCTGATGACGGGGAAGATGACGACGCATCAGAGGACGAGGTATCCGTGACTGAGGAGGTTGGCGGAGCAGGTAGCAGAGACGAGGATGGTGCAGACCGGAATGGCGACGATAGCGGCGGCGACGACAGTGCCGCCCAGACCGCTCGCAAGGGCGCGTCTGACAGCGATGTTGAAGTTGTGTTTGATTCCGAGGACGAGGATGACCTCGAGGATATGTTCTCTGGAAATTGGGACCCGGAGGTTGTGGCGAAGAGACGGAGCCGCCGAGTGGCAACGGCGCGGAAGAAGTAGTAGAGCTTTTGTTGAAAGCTCCCGATACCCCCCTTTTTCTCCTACCACTTACACGCACGAGATATCCCGAGCCATGTAGGCTTTGTCCTCTCACCGGCGTTTTGTTTGGATATCTGGTCTTGCTGGAACACGGATTATATACCACAATAGACGATCATGACTGACCCTTTACGCACTAATACCCCGCATTTAGAAACGACGAAATTGAGCACAATTTAACATGAATTTGTTTGGGTATTTGAATTACGTGATTTGTGATCTGAGCCTTGCATTGAAAATCAGGAGCTTCTGTCCGTTGATCCCCATCTGGCCAACGGTCCATTGCAGCGCTCTCGGCATGCATGATATGCCGTCAGCAGTCGGCCTGTAAGCCGTACTCAACTCGCCATGGCAACACAATAAGGCGGTTACCCCACTGCATACTATGGCAGATATCGCGGTTCTTAGTTGCCTTCTGGCGTGGCGACCTCGTCAAATCCACGGTCAATTTATGCAATGGGCTCCTCGGCGACGTAGTGCAGGTAAGCGCCAAGGAGCTTGATGCCCTCAATGTAGTTGCGCTTGTCCAGCTTCTCGTTGATGGAGTGAGCACCGTCAGTGGAGCTACCCATGGGCAGAAGAAGAACGTTCTTGCCGGTGGCCTGCTCAAAGGTCAAGGTGACGGGGATACTATGTCTGTTGTCAGTGGACGTCCTTCGGTATTAAAGGATGGTATTCATACCTTCCACCCTCACGGGTGAAGTCAGGCTGCACACCCCAGACGCGCTCGGTAGCCTTGGCGGCAGCCGAGAAGTTCCAGTGCTTGGGCGACGCAACCCACCACTTGCCGGTGTGCTGAGCCCAAACCTTCATGGTGTTCTTGCTCTTGAGCTTTGCGAATTGCTCGTTGACGTACTTGTAGACAGCCTCATTGGTCGCCTCCTCCTCCATGTTGGGCACGGTGCGGATTGAGAACTTGCCAGTGACCTTGGCCGGGATGACAGTCTTCGCGCCAGGGGCAGAGAAGGCACCCTCAACACCGTGGACGGAGAGGGAGGGGTAGCGCCATCTTCCCATGAGGGTGGACTTCTTGTCTTCGTAGATGGTGGTCTTGCTGCCGAGAGACTCGTGGAGAGTCTCCATAGTGAATGCAATGCCATCGTACAGAGTCTCCTCGTCCTTGGTAACAGGGGCAACCTGCTCCATGATGCCAGGAATCTGGATCTTGCCGTCAGTGTCGACCAAAGAGCCGAGAACGCGGACCAGGTCAGTCATGGGTTCCTGAGCAGTGCCGCCAAAAACACCGCTGTGCAAATCAGCGCCAGGACCCTTGATCTCGACAGAGTAGTAGTTGCAGCCACGGAGACCGTAAGTCAAGCAGGGCTTCTCAGTTCCGAGCCAGTAGTTGTCTGAAATGCAGACGGCATCAGCGTCAGCGAAGAACTTCTTGGCCTCAGCATTGATGAGGTCGTCAAGACCCTCGGAACCGTACTCCTCCATACCCTCGAAGCACATGAGGAGGTTGACGGGGAAGTCGATGCCGGCCTTCTGGTGAGCTTCGATAGCGTTCAACCAGCCGAGAACGGGTCCCTTGTCGTCCGTGGAACCACGGCCGAACATTCTGCCCTTGTCATCGACTGAGAGCTCAAAAGGCTCGGTCGCCCAGCCATCAGTCTTCTCGGCGGGCTGAACATCGTAGTGGCCGTAGACCAGGATAGTTCTCTTATTCTTGTCGCTTCCATATCTTCCCAGAACGACAGGGGGCAGCTGCAAGCCAGGCTTGTCAGGCTGCTCCCCAAGCTCTCGAAGCTCGACTGAGGCACCGAGGCCCTTCAGCTCGGCAGCGAGCCACTCGCCCATCTTGACGACATCGGGACGACGCTCAACATCAGCTGAGATGGAGGGGATCGCAACAGCCTTCCGGAGGCGGTCGATGAAGTGGTCGGTGTCGGCATCGACCTGCTTGAAGTAGCCGTCGAGTTGAGGAGCCATCTTGGTCTTTCGAGCTTGGTATGCTTTTATAGCTGGAGTAAGGTAGTGACGGCGAGATTGTGAGATGGTTTGCCAACACGGAAGAGATTTGGGAGTTGTAGGAACAAACTTTCGAGCAGTCTGAGGGAGGGCAAGGCCTCTAAACAACGAGGTGCGGGGCATGACGCCGGACTGGACCTTCTACATCGGGCGCAAAAGAGCTGACCAGAATTCTGCTGCACCGAGAGTACCTCTACATGCACCTGCCCACAACTGCTCCGGATGGCGGGGTTCTCTCAATGCGCTTCGGCAAGCAGCGGCGTATCAGCAGGAAGGGACCTGACCATTGCTAATGTATCCGTTCTAGGTGGAGGCGCTAGGACCGAGACCAAAGAACTTTTGCGTGATACAGCACGTGATCTTATCGGCAAATTCCCGGCCGAGATAGTGGAGGCCCGGACGGGACCTGGAGACGATGGAAGTTTCTTGAGATTACTCAGCTGCGATGGTGCCCTCCGAAGAAAGATGGGGACCATTTTAAAACTCGCTGAACCTGGAAGGTCCAGACAGACATGAAGAGCCCGGAAAAACACCTGCCCGGAAAACCGAACGCTCACGTGCCACCTGGCCCAGGCTTGCCCAGAATTGGCGGTGCTGCAGAATCAGGCCGGTCGGTCGCAGTGGCCAGAGAGTGGGTTCCAGCTACCTTTCTCCGTCTGCCTGCAGTCACTGCCGGCTATATGTCTTCTCCCCCTTTGCGTTACTCCTCTTTTTCCTGCCACGAACATCACCATCAACGCTCCCTTTCGACCTGCGACCGCGCGTTTCGCTTTGCCGAAACCTACGTACGGGTGCCACTCACGACTTTGCAACGGATTCCATCACTTTACGACAATCGCCCAAACGACTTTTCGGCCCCAGGTGACCAGCGAAGCAAGTGCCCGCTCAGCAACCGACTCTTTCCCTGCAAGATTGTTTGCGTCTCGCCGCGAGACCGTCGCGACCGCTCACATTTCGATCGGAATACTGAATTGGAAACCAACGCTGGCTAACTGAGGTTTTCACGACTGATGGTGCGAAAGGTGTCGAGGTGATTTGGATTTGAGGAGGGATTCACACAAAGGACTGACTTTTCTCCAACTGGTGTCGGCCTCTTTGGCATTGTACTCTTTCTCTACACTCCGCAACCCTTATTTCCTTGTTTTCCAAGTAAATCAGAATTGATTTTCATTACTCTTGAGAGGTGCTAAGCGCAAGAGACATCACACACAAGCAAGAAGAAAAATTACAAGCATCAAGTCTCTCTCTACTCACGTTGAGGTAGCGTTGCGTCTTCGTGGTATCCCGCGAAGTCTTCATCGCCACTCAAATCAAATACTTGATTGCGCACTCTACTGCTGCCAACATCTATAGCGGTCTACACCTGTGACCTTACCAAACGAGACATCATGGCGTCCTCCGTGTTCTTCAAGTTCAAGTCTCAAAAGGAGCCAACGCGAGTTGAGTTCGATGGAACCGGTATTTCCGTCTTCGAGCTGAAGCGCGACATCATCTTGAAGAGCGGCTTGGGAGACGGTACCGACTTCGACCTTGCCATTTACTCCGAGGATGGCAGTGAGGGTAAGTTCTATCGCAAACAGTTTTCTCACGACTGTCGATCTAACACCTTCCTAGAGTACGATGATGATACGACCATTATCCCCCGATCTACGACCGTAGTTGCTCGTCGCCTTCCAGCTGCCAAGCCTGGTGCAGGCCGAGGCGCCCGATATGTCTCTGGCAAGATGCCCGTTGCTGCGAAGAATTCCTCCCGCAAAGAACAGACAACCAAATCAGCTACTGCCAAGGCCGCATCCAACGCCATCAGCCAGATGAACAATGCCATGACCGAAGAAGAGAAAATGGCAGCCATGTTCCAGGCCCAAACCGAATCTTGGTCGGCACAACAGGAGGAAATGTCGAAGTAAGTCCATCCCAGATCGCCCTAACGAATCAACTCTAACAAAGTTGCAGCCAAACCCCTGTGTTCAAGCCAGGTTCTAAGAAGCCAGCAAACGTGCCTGACCATGACCCTCCCAATGGCTACATTTGCTATCGCTGTGGAGAGAAAGGTCACTGGATTCAGTTGTGCCCCACAAACGACGATCCAGAGTTTGACAATCGTCCGCGTGTGAAGCGCACGACTGGTATTCCGCGGTCATTTTTGCGCACAGTGGACAAGTCGGTTGCCCTCGCCCAGAGTGGTGACGACGAGACCAAGAGACCATCAGGCATCATGGTCAATGCCGAGGGAGAATTTGTGATCGCTGAGCCTGACAAGGCTTCATGGGAACAGTTCCAGGCCAAAGCCAAGTCTTCAGCGTCTGCTGCCAAGGCAATCGCTATGGGAGACAAAGAATTGCAGGAGCAGGGACTCGAGTGTCCTATCGACAAGAAGATGTTCATAGACCCAATGAAGACCCCGTGCTGCCAGAAGACGTATTGCAATGATTGCATAACCAATGCTCTCATCGAATCGGACTTCGTCTGCCCTAATTGCTCTACGGAAGGTGTCTTGATTGACGACCTCAAGGCTGATGAGGAAGCTGCGGAGAAGATGAAGGAGTTCCTCAAGGAGAAGAACGATGCAAAGAGCCCGCCAGCAGCCTCGCCGCCGCCGGCCTCGTCGCCTAAGGGAAATGGAGAGACAAATACAGAATCAGCCAACGGAAACGCCAAATCGCCCACATCGCAAAAGTCCCCTACGGCCACGGCAGCGGCTCCTGCCTCAGCGCCAACAGGCCCGAAAGCCGATGGCACGCCAAAGTCGACATCAGCAACTCCTGCCATCGCTCCGTCCGGCCCCGCCGCTGAGCGCGCGTCGTCCGTGGAGTCCAACTCCAAGAAGCGCCCTGCTGATGAGTTGATGGAGAACCCCAAGATTCCGAAGGCTCCGAAGGCGATGCAGAAGCAACAAGAGCAACAGCAAGCAATGATGAACGGCATGAACGGCATGGGCAACATGCCCATGGACCCGATGATGGGTTTCGGCGGCATGAACATGATGAACG